CTAACAGTCAGAAGGGACCTGGTTGTTAATCAATTGGTGGATCGCTTTCTGTGGGGTAATACCTCCAGAAAAAAAACACTGCTGTGCACAATTGGCTGCTGCGTTTTGCCCACAAAATAAACTTTACAATATATCCTTGTGGAGTCCTGTAGCTCAGTGGTTAGAGCACTCGCTTTGCAAGTGAGAGACCTGAGTTCAATTCCAGGCAGAGGGCGAAACCTCGGGCAAGTTTCCTTACTCCACACAGAGCCTAATAATAATCCCTCCAAAAAAAAAACAATAATAAATTGGTCATTTTCAATCTACGACTGTTTGTGGGACATCGCTGTGCACAATTGGCTGCCGCGTTCGCCCACAAATATACAGTCAATTCACTTTACAGTGTGTTCTGTGAAGCGCTTTGGGACGTCCTCCCGACGTGAAACGCGCTATATCAAATGCAAGGATTATTATTATTTTATCCTGTGAAACGCTTTGAAACGTCTCAACTACGTGATAATGTGCTACATGACATGCAAGGATTATTATTATTATTGACTTGGTGCTTGAACCCCAAACCTTCTGACTGACTAGTGTGTGTGTGCGTGTAATTTTAGTAAAGAGCTTGTGAATTGCTTGTTGCGAAACAACTTTAGGAGAATGTGTGCAATCAGATTAAATGGCACAGGGCCCCTGTCAGAGCCCCGCTAATCTGTGTTTAGGGTGAAGTCAGACTGTAATAGTATGTTTTGTCTACATCATGAACATCCAAGAACAGGAATGAAAGAGAAAGGTGTGGCTGTCAACATAACCTCACTGTACCTCCCAGAGAGGCATTTAGGGAGGGGCCACAGTATCCCAGGGCACTCACTGCTGATGGCAGCACAGCCCGGCCCGGCTCATGGGCAGGACCTGGAAGGGCCGACCAGTCACTGGGGACAGGGAATCCTCCCCCTCAGCTCCTGTTAACCCCACAGCCAACACCCTAACTAACTAACGGGGAGTCCTAGCTGGACAAGCAGCGGGAAAGCTTGGCCAGACAGACAGAGCTCTCTCCGGCAAGCTAGGGAGTTTAGCTGGTTAGACTCCAGCAGCTACCCCAAAGCACACTCTGGGCTCCTCGCAAGCCTTGGCTCTTGGCAACCTGTGCCTAATAATCTCCAGAATTAGGTAAGCAGAGGGGCGTCCCTCCAGGGAGAGAGAGAGGGAACGCATTCCATCCCAACAATCTATCTCTGGGATTTCCATGTGTAGGTGGGATACATGGAATTCTGAGCTGGGCTGAGTTGTGCTGTCATCAGTAGTGTCCTGATCTCTCAGACTACATGATAAGGCGCTATATCAAATGCAAGGATTATTATTATTATTATTATATGATTACTGGGCATTGTTATGCTGGGCCTCAGTCTTGCTGTGCGGGTTTGTCGTCTAACCACCTGCAGAACAACTCTGGGAATCTGCCTGGTTGAAAAGATTAACACAAATATTTGACTTTGCTGCTAGTGTTCGATTTAAGTACACACGTCTGTCCAGGGCTGTAGGTTTGTTTAAAAATAACACACACTATAATAAAGCAAAGCTTTTGCAGAGAAATGCCTGAGGTTTCCAGTAGCTCTGACCCGGCAGTCATTGAACCGCTGATATTGATTGATTTGTAACCCTCCTTCACCACTGACCAGAACTCAACAACGATAACTTACATTTACTACCTTCATTCTGGGTAACGTCCCATACATAGCGCTTGACAGTGGCGGAGTCTGACACCAAACCACGGGGAGAGGGAGGAGGGGAGGTGACCCTAAGCAGGATCAAAAAGGAAGGTCTTTAGGCGGGATTTGAAGGTGGGGACGGAGGGAGGGAGCAAGGCGGAGAGATCGAGGGAGAGAGATCCAGAGTTCGGTACATAGTGGCTGAAGCCACGGCCACCCATGGTGGAGTAGAGATCCTCATTATTATAACAATAATCCTTGCATTTGACACAGCGCCTTATCACATGGTCGAGACGTCTCAAAGTGCGTCACAGGATACATTGTAAAGCACAGTGACTGTGTATTTTGTGGGCGAATGGCGGCAGCCAATCACACCCAGAGACGTCCCCACAAACAGTCGTGGATTGAATGGCAAAATTAATTTTTTTTGGAAGGATTATTACCTCCGGAAAGCGATCCACCAATTGACTCACAAATGGGTTCCTACTTACTGCTAGCGAAACAGGCGTATGTGTGCGCGTGGGGAGTAAGGAAACTTGCCTATGGTTTCCCCCTGTCCCGACTGGGAATTGAATCGAATCCGGGTCCTCTCGCTTGTGCGGCGAGCGCGTTAACCGCTATGTTAAGTGACAGGGAGCGGGCGCTGTTACACTCCCTCTCTCTTCTCTCCCTGTCGATGTTTTGAAAGTCTCCTTGTAGTTGGGTGAGCGAGCGCTTGCAGGGGTCTGTCTCTTATCGAGACCAAAGCATTGATTGTGAAGTCAGAATGTTTGTTCGGCTCTGGCAGCTTCTGGAATGCTGGCTCCAGCGTCCGTACGTTTAGGATTAAGAGGTTGGGGAGGCTGGTGATTTAACATTCATGTGACTGTGTTTATGTGGGAAATAAAGCGGAACAGAGGCAGAATTGATTTGTTTTGGGAGGAGGAGAGAAAGAGAGAGGGAGGGAGGGCGGAGGAGAGAGAGGGAGGAAGGGGAGGAAAGAGAGGGAGGGGGAGAGAGAGATAGAGGAAGGAGAGAGAGCAAGAGAGGGAGGAAGGGGAGGAGAGAGAAGGGGGGAAGAGAGAGAGCGGGAGGGAAGATGGAGAGAGAGATAATAATTCTTGCATTTGACACAGTGCCTTATCACATCTTTGTGACGTCTCAAAGCGCTTCACAGAATTTACTGTAAAGTGAATTGACTGTATATTTTGTGGACGAGATGCAGCAGCCAATTGCGCACAACAGCGTCCCACAAACAGACGTAGATTGAGTGACCCAATTTTTTTTAATGCGATTATTACCCCCGGAAAAAGAGGGAGGGGGAGAGAATGGGAGAGAGGTGGGGAGAGGAAGGGGGGAGAGAGAGGGGGGGAAGACAGAGGGAGGAGGTAGAGAGAGAGGGAGGTGGGAGAGAAAGAGAGAAGGGGAGAGGAAGATTGAGAGAGAGAGGAACAACCTCAAGCAAATAAATGGCTTTGATCTCTTTAAAAAATAACCGGAGGAGGTTGCAGAGAGAGGGAGTGTGTGTGTGTGTGTGTGCGCTAGCGTTTGCAGGGAGCAAAACGTGGTTTGTGATGTGATGAAAGCTGCCTCATAAAATTTGATCCAAAGCTGCCTTGAACTCTGAGAAAGTTTGGCAGTCAACGCCCCCACACCCTGTCTCACCTCACTGCCTCATTCATGGATTAAACCCCTGTGTTCTCCCCCTCACACCACCCCACTCAGCCACCAGAGGAAATAGTTTCTCGGTAGCTACCTTAAAGCGCTTTGGGACGCTACCCCATGCGAAGGCACTATATAAAAGCAAGTTGTTGTTGTCCTGTAGCTCAGTGGTTAGAGTGCTCGCCTCGCAAACGAGAAGACCCGGGTTCAATTCCCGGGCGGGTCAAGGCAAAACCTTAGGCAAGTTTCTTTACTCCACACACACACACACACACCACACCTCTGCATACCCAGCAGTAAGTAGGAACACGGTTGTTAGTTGATTGGCGGATCGCTTTCCGGTGGTAATAATTCCTCCGGGAAAAATATCTGGTCACTCAATCCACGACTGTTTGTGGGACGCTGCTGTGCGCAATGGCTGCCACATTTCACCCACAAATTATACGTCAATTTACTTTGCAAAATATTCCGTGAAGCGCTTTGAGACGTCTTGACAACGTGATAGAGAATGGAGAGTGTAAGCAGAGGTAACACACAGTCTAATACTCCTAGGAGAGAGAGGGGGAGAGAAATTTGCTAGTAACTTTAGAAGTTGCAAAGCCTGTTTGACCACTCCGTTAACTACAGGCAGATGTGGTAAGAGTGCAAACAGTGCGTGTGTATGTGGAGAGGATAGAGAATGCTTGGGGGGAGGTAGGAGGAGGATGGAGCCAGTCAAGCGAGCAAAATCAGGGCAGACATAATCACGGTGTGATCTTGCCTGTCTTGCTTTTATTCCTGAAATATCTTGCCTTTCGCATTCAAAAGCAGCATGTTAAAGAAGTCATGTAACTCAGTGGTTAGAGTGCTCGACTCGCAAGCGAGATGACTCGGGTCCGATTCCCAGGTGATCAGGGCAAAAAGCTTCCTTACTCCACACACACACACACACACACACACACCTCTGTTTACCCAACAGTAAGTAGGGACCCGGTTGTTAGTCGATTGGCGGATCGCTTTCCGGGGATAATAATCCCTTCAAAAAAAATGGTCAGTCAATCCACGGCTGTTTGTGGGACACTGCTGTGCACAATTGGCTGTGTTTCACCCACAAAATATGCAGTCAATTCACTTTACAGTACATTCTGTGAAATGTTTTGAGATGTGATAAGGCGCTGTATCAAATGCAAGGATTATTATCTCTCTTCCCCCACCTTCTCTTTCTCTTCTCACATTCTCTTTCTCATTCCATTCACTCTTTCTCTATCCCCCCTCCTCTGTTTATTGCTCACCTCTCTCCCTCTCTCTCTCTGTCTCTCTTTTCCTTACTTCTCTCCCTCTCTCTATTCGTCTCCTCCCTCCTTCACTCTCTCTCTCTCTCTTCCCCCATCTTCTCTCTCTCTTCCCCCCACCCTCTCTCTCATCACATTCTCTCTTTCTCTCCCTCTCTATTGCCCCCTCTCCCCCTCTCCTCCCCCCCATCTCTCTCTCTGTTCCTCACCTTCTCTCACACAAAAACACATCTCTCTCTCTTTCAACCGCACAGATTCTCTCTGTCTCCCTCTCTCTCTCACACACACTCCCCCGCACACCTTGCAGAATGGACTGCTCCCCCCGCCATCACTTTACCTCTATGGTAATGAACTGAATGATGTCAGCCCTGAACCTCCCCAAACCACTGTGTGTGTGTGTGTGTGTGTGTGTGCGCGGTGTGGGGGGAGTGTCGGTGTGGGCGGTAGGCAGCAGTCTGCGGGCTCAGCAAGGTGTGCTCAGGACCAGCAGAGGACATTCCCAAGTTGTCACGTTCCTGGAATTTGGAGACGAGAGAGAGAGACACTGTTTTGCGGGGAGTGCACCATTGCTTGGGTTAGAGTTGGAGAGAGCATTATTTAAAAAAAATTGGTTTAGTTTTTATTTGTCGACTTGAAGCAACAAGAAAAAGGGGGAGGGAAAGAACGATAAAACATCAAAAATGCCTGAAGACAACTCCCTCCTTCTGGGTTTCTCTCCAGCCTGAGATCTCGGCACTCTCTCTCTCCCTCACACTCACACGCTCGTGCCCACAGGCAGAAACAGATGGATCGCTGCTAACAACTCGTGGTGCACTGAACTACCTCCGACAGGAATCCTGACTTGGGGGCAAGTTGTGCCTTCTGATTTTATTTTATTTCCTTCACCCGCCTCCCTCCCCGTTAGTTCCGAGGTTGACTCGGGAGGAGGCTGAGAGAGAGCGATGGAGGTGGCTCCCCTCTCCCCTGCAGCCTATGTCAACGCAACTCAGTACTCCAATGTCTTGGAGGGACGCTTCAAACAGTTGCAAGGTAAGTAGTCACTTTCCCGCCTTTGCTCTGACACCGGATCCCAGTCGCAGGCGGAGGGAAGAGGAGAGGGGAGTTAGCACAGTGCTGTCACTGTACTCTGTACTAGGGCAGTAGGGGGTGGGGAATGGCAGCTTGTCTGCTTTAACTTGTGCCTGGAGGTGAATTCATGGAGGATTCCTGCAGAGTGTTGTTTGTGTGGGTGTGCGAGCCTTGTGTGTGTGTGTGTGTGTGTGAGAGAGAGAGAGCGAGTGCAGAGTGTGTGTGTGTGCATGTGTGTGCCTGCAGTGTATGTGAGAGTGCAGTGTTTGCGTGCGTGCTATGTGTGTGCATGTGTGTGTGTGCTGTGGGTCGGTGTGTGTGAGCATGTTTTGTTTGTGAAATGTGTCAGCCAGTTGCACACAGCAAGTGCCCCACCAACAGTCCTAATAATATTGTACCTAAAATAATAACAATAACCCTTACATTTGATATAGCATGTTATCACGTCGTTGAGACGTCCCAAAGCATTTCACAGGATATACACTTAAATTGCAGTGACTGTGTATTTGGTGGGCGAAACATAGAAATACTTAAGGCAAACCTAATAACTAAACTATAAAAGATATTCTACTGATAACTAAAAAAAACAACATACAATGTTTGATACAGCGACTTTGATACAGGAGGAAAGTGCTTCATAGGACACACTGTAAGGTGGAGTGACTGTATTTTTGCAAGCAAACGCTGCAGCCGATTTGCGGACAGTGACATTCCACAAACAGCTGTGAAGTGAGTCACCAATTTTATCCAGGGGATCGTTGTCTAGGACACAAGGAGAGAAACTCCCATCTCTTTTTTGAATAGATCACGGGATCTTTAATGTTCCTCTGAACAGGCAGATGGGAGCTTGGTTAAACGTCTCATCCCAAGGGCGGTTCCTTCAACAATGTGGAATTTATCGCTTAACCCTATCTCCAGCTTTGCAATGAAGCCTAAAATTATTAATAATTCTAATAATCCTTGCATTTATACAGCATCTTATCATGTCCTCGAGACATCTCAAAGCGCTTCAGGGGATATATTGTAAAGTGAATTGTGTCATTTGTGGGCGAAACAGCTGTGTCGAATTCAAGATCCTCATCCTCACCTACAAGGCCATTCACGGCCTCGCTCCCTCCTACCTCTCTGACCTACTATCCCCCTACTCACCTGCCCGTACCCTCCGTCCCTCTGGCTCCGGTCTGCTCCACGTCCCCCGCCCCAACCGCCCGACCATCGGTGGCCTTCAGCCTCTCAGCCCCGAGGCTCTGGAACTCCATCCCCAGTGCCTTCGCCGCTTCCTCCCTTTCCTCCTTCAAGGCCGGTCTCAAAACCTTTCTCTTTGACCTTCAGCTCCGCTCTCGACTCTCTACCCCCTCCTCGCTCCCTCCCTTCCCTCCCCTCACCCTGACCATTTCCCCCCAATGCTCGGGTCCCGACCCAACTGTCCAGCGCCTTGGGAAGTCCTCCCGACGTGAAAGGTGCTCTGTAAATGCAAACTTGTTGTTGTTACTGTGTCGCACGAATGGTTGTGAATTGAGTGACCACATATTTTTTTGAGGGATTATTACCCCGGAAAGTGATCCGCCAATCGACTAACAACCAGGTTCCTACTTACTGCTGGTAAACAGAGGTGTGTGTGTGCGTGGAGGAAGGAAACTTGCCTAAGGTTTCGCCCTGACCAGACTGGGAATCAAACCCGGGTCATCTTGCTTGCGAGGTGAGCGCTCTAACAGGACTCTGTTTAGGCTACGGGACTCAACGTGGGGCTTGAACCCACAGCCTTCTGACTCCGATATCAACTGAGCCAGGCTGGACACATTGTGTTTGGGGTCACATTGCTTGGAACGCTGTTTTGTGCAATTGACTGCCTCGTTTCGCCCATAAAATACACAGTCACTCCATCTTACAGTATATCCTGTGAAGCGCTTTGAGACGTCTCAACGACGTGATAAGGTGCTGTATCAAGGACAGCGTTGATTAGAAGAATAAGATCCTCTCAAAAGTTGTTAGTTTTAATGAACTTCTGCAAATCTGTGGTCTGACCTGGATTAATGTCAGCCTGGCTCAGTCACTCACATTCCTTGCTTGTGCTCATTAAGGTTGTGTGTTCCATGACAGGAGATCACAGTTCAATCGCAGTATGGGGGGAGGAGGGGGTGGAGAGAGGTGCCATATTGTTGCGAGGAGGGGGTGCGCTGTCTTTCGAATCAGATGACAAACCCCGGTGGACATTAAAACAACAACAATTTGCATTTACACAGCACCCTGGGGGGAGGGAGGGGGGAGGTGACTGTAGGCATGGTCGAAGAGGAAGGTCTTCAGGCACGACCTGAATGTGGGGAAGGATCATCCAGGAGGCTGTTGGAAAAGAGAAAGGAGTTTCTCTCTCTCCCAGTGTCCTGGCCAACAATCCCTCCAGATAAAATTATGTTCACCTCGTGCCTCTTTGCGAAGGAATAATAAATAATATTCCTTGCATTTCATGTAACACTTTATCGTGTTTTTGAGCGCTTCACAGAATATACCGTAAAGTGGATTGACTGCATATTTTGTGGGCGAAATGTGGTCGCCAATTTCATACAACAACAACAACAATAACTTGGATGTATATAGCGCCCTCCACGCCGGACGGCGTCTCAGAGCGCTTCACAGTAACGGATCCCGGGACCGAGCCGGGGGGAGGGGGAGGAGCCAGGGGGAGGGGGAGAGAGGGGGACGGTGACCAAAGGCGCGGTCGAACAGAAAGGTCTTCAGTAGAGACCTGAAAATAGGAAGGGAGGGAGCGAGGGGAAGGGAGGGAGGGAGTTCCAGAGCCTCGGGGCACAGTGGCTGAAGGCACGGCCGCCGAGGGTGGAGCGGAGGACTGGGGGACGAGGAAGAGGCCAAGGAGGAGGCAGTGTCAGCAGTGTCCTACAAACATTGAGTGACCATTTATTTTTGTTGCTGAGGGATTATTACTCCCGAAACGCGATCCACCAATTGACTAACACCTGGGTTCCCACTTACTACTCGGTAAACGGAGGTGTGGGTGTGGAGTAAGGAATCCTGCAAGATTTCGCCCTGACCCGCATGGGAATCGAATCTAGGTCCTCTCACTTGCAGGCGAGCGCTCTAACCACTGAGCTACGGGACAGTAATGATATCACATTCCAAACCTCGGTCACAAAACACAGTCACTCCGCTTTACACCATAATAAACCTTGCATTTGACACAGCGCCTTATCACGTCACCGAGACATCTCAAAGCGCTTCACAGAATATTTATGTGTGTTTTGTGGGCTCGCAAACAGACAGCGCTCTACGAGACAGTCTGTGAAGCTCTTGAGACATCTTGCCCTGAAAGGCGCCGTATGAAACACAAGGGTTATAATAAAAAGGCCATTATAAATGCACACTGGAACTCTCTCTGCGTTGCAACAGGATCCTGAGGGGGCTTTAGGGCATCAATGTGTTTTCCAGAGAATCTCTGCTCACCACATGACATCGAGTCAGTAAATACAGTTCTGTACACATCAGTCATTGTATAATCACATGCTCTCTGAGACCTGCTCTTTAACCCTTTCATTATTGACGCTTATATGGGTTTCAAACACAAGGTTATTTATAGACCAAGTTCTGTGAGGACTGATGCAAGTAAATTCAGGGGTGGGGGGGAAATTCAGAACAAATCTACGGAAACACACTACACTTCTCAGCCGTCCTGAAGCGCTTTGAGACGTCTCAACAATGTGATAAGGCGCCATGTTCTGTAGCTCAGTGGAGTCCTGTAGCTCAGTGGTTAAAACAACAACAACTTGCATTTCAGTGAGCGAATAGTGAACCTGTGGAACGGGCTCCCAAAGGATACGGTTGAAGCAGGAAATGTTGATTCCTTCGAACACAGATTAAATAGTTTTCTTTTGGGAAATAACATTACGGGATATAGTACATAGGTTGTTTGGGATGTGTGAGCATGCGATCGCCAGGAAGGTGGAAAGTGAACTAGATGGACTTTGGGTCTTTTTTTTTGTCTAACATTTCTTGTATTCTTAAGTAATATTCAGTCTACTATCGACTGATTTCACTCGCCCGTGAACTAGTAAACCTTGCATTGAATACAGCGCCTTATCATGTTGTTGAGACGTCTCAAAGTGCTTCACGTGATATACCGTAAAGAGAGTGACTGTATTTTGTGGGCGAAATTGCTCTCTCTGTCTGTCTCTCTCTGACTGTCTCACTGGCTCTGTCTCTCTCTCACTTTGTCTCTCTCGGTCCGTCTCACTCCCTGTCTGTCTGGCTTTTTCTCTTTCTCTCTGTCTGTCTCTGTCTTCCTTGGGACGTCCTCCCGACGTGAAAGGCGCTATACAAATCTAATTTTGTTGTTGTCTCTCTCTTTCTGTCTCTCTGTCGGCCTATCTCTCTCCCTCTTTCTCTCTCTGGCTCTCTTTATCTGCCACTCTCTCTCTGTCGGTCTGTCTGTCTGTCTCTCTCTGTCTGTCTGTGGTGCGAGGTTTAATGTCCTCTCCTGGGAGCGTTTCCAGGCGTATATTAACAATAAATAACTTGTTACTGAGACCTTGTGACACCCATGAGGGTCAGAACTCTCCAGGAGGCCTAGTGCTGCTCCTCACACTAAAATGTTTTCTTTTTACCAAAAACGTTGAAGGACTAGTCACTTTCTTTATTCAGCACATTCAACTGTTAGATTTTTCCTGTTTGTCTCTCTCTATTTCGCTCTCGCTCTTATCTGTTTCACTGTGTGTCTCCCTCTGACTTGCTTTTCTCTGTCTATGGCCGTCTTTCTCTCACTGTCTTCCAGTCTTGCTTTTTCTCTTTATCTGTGTTTTGAGTATGTGTGTCACTCTCTCTGTCTCACTCTTGTGTGTGTCTCTCTGTCTCGCTTTTCTCGGTCTGTCTGTCTCTCTGTCTTGTAAAGTAATAATCCTTGCATTTGATACAACGTCTTATCATGTCGTTGAGACGTCTCAAAACGCTTCACA